GCCTTCACACTCTGCTCTTAGTGATGGAATGTGTAAATCAGTGCAGACTGGTCACCAGGCCGCGCACATGTAGGCGTGAACCTCAAACACTCTACTGGCCAGCCTTCACACTCTGCTCTTAGTGATGGAATGTGTAAATCAGTGCAGACTGGTCACCAGGCCGCGCACATGTAGGCGTGAACCTCAAACACTCTACTGGCCAGCCTTCACACTCTGCTCTTCGTGATGGAATGTGTAAATCAGTGCAGACTGGTCTCCAGGCCGCGCACATATAGGTGTGAACCTCAAACACTCTACTGGCCAGCCTTCACACTCTGCTCTTAGTGATGGAATGTGTAAATCAGTGCAGACCAATCAGGTAGCACTTCTCTTATGAATATTGATAAGTTTTCCCTAACCACCCTATAAAACAAAAATTCACTTCCGGGGAAACCTGGAAGTATGGTAACCTTACAGTTTACTGCACATAGATAACACAATATACGTGTAAAGTTTGTTAAACTTCAAGCAAACAACACGATTCAGTGTTCACACAAAAATAAAAAGTCCCAATCGTGTCTGAAATTTGAAGTCATGCATGAGCAGCGTTGCCCATAGGGATGTGCATGTGGTTTATGGTTTTTTAAAAGCAAAGGTGTGCACGAGCCTTGTAAACACTGTGCGATGATACTGAGTGGCTGCTGGATATTGAAAATTGGCGTCATTTCCTTCACTTGGTGCTCCACTGTAGCTTGCAACACTGCGTCATACGGGTTGCAGTGTTAAATCCAGACAAACTGCCAATTTTCGAAAAACCACCCGGCCCAAAAAGAGGATATGTCCGGGGAAACCCGGACGTATGGTAATCCTAGGTGTGACATCATTCCCAGCTCCGATTTTCCAACCTCCGAGGGAAGTGGAGTGCAGCATAAGCACTGTAGGTGACTTGCAAGGGCCTTGCTAGGACCCAGCTGTGACATATCTCTGCCAGCCACAGCAGCCCTATACTGCTTCAGTGTTGGACCTTAAGCACCGATTGGCTGGTTGTAGGAAGTGACTGTGCCTTTCTGCTGCGATGATTCAGGGTTCATCATCCAGTATGAGGATGTGCTTCACCAGCAAGGCGTCTGGCACAACCTGACCGAGGTGCCGGGCACGAAGACCACGGCCCACCTCGAGCTCTCCCCATACGTCCTCTATACCTTCAGGGTGCTGGCGGTCAACGAGGTGGGCTTCAGCCAGCCCAGTTACCCTTCCGCGCGGTACCAGACAGAACCGGCAGGTCAGAGGCTCTCCTTAGCTACGCTCCCCACCTGCCGCCGTGACACGTGTCTCACTTGAAGCCCAGACACTGTTGTGTTGGTCTGTTCATTTCAGTTCCTGAAGAAAACCCTTCTGAAGTGGACGCTGCTGGAAATGAACATGACAACTTGGTTATATCATGGAAGGTAAGGCTCACCCAGGCCGCACAACCCGAGAGGGTGCAGAATATATTGTAGCAGACTCGCAAATTGCAGCAGACTCGCATAGAGTGTAGATTAACATATTGTGGTGAGTGGTTGAGTCATTTTAAAATGGAAGTGGCTCTTTATTAACAGCCATTATAGGTTTAATACTAGCAGCGGCACAGACAGGGAAGGCAACAATTTAAACAACACTCACGGTTACACCCTAACGAAACCTGAGCAAACATTACGCAGTAAATAACTGCATAATTAGTCCTGGTGACCAACCCCGCTGCATCTCATTTATGTCAGCCAATCGTGGACAGTGGGTGGGATCAGATCAAAATGAAGAAGTTCGCTTTGGAGACCGTGCACAGGCGGAGCGCCGTCACCGTTCATACGACATCGTACTGCTAAAATGACGTTGATTCTGTCAATTACGTTTGAAGTGTACGGCCAGGAATGAGATGAATAAAAAACCCATTTCACATGTTCAGATCACTCCTTTTTTTTGGATATGATTTTACACAAAACAGATAAAAAATACATATTTGTGGATGTGAAATATTTATGGATCATGGTACATATTTGTGGATCATCTGCTGTGGGTTACAAATAATAAAGTTCAACAAAAACTTCCATAATTATTCATTTATTGTTGTATATTGTTTAGCTTTGTATTATTTTTGTCATGTAATGATAATGCTAAACAATTGCGTTGCTCTGTGCTGCAATGTTAATGTTACACTGCTGTGCCTGTTACTATTATCTGAATCTAGTTTGATCACACATAAGGGAATGTATTTTAAAGGCAAATGGTTGATCGATTTATTTTCTCCCTAGATGTTCAGTTGCAGAAACTGTCTGAGTAGTTGGTTCTTTTTTCTTGTTTCTCTTGATGTCCATGATGCTGACAGACTGCTGTGTCCCAAGTCTGCTGCTAGTGCCAGTTAATGTTGCCTCTGTTATACATAGTGGCCAGTTTGCCAAACTTAAAATTATTATCATGGCTTTCTATAGTGTATATATACATGAAAAGTTGCCTTTTTAAATTTGGGCTTTAAATTTGCCTTTAAATTTAGTCAACATTCAATTTGGGTTACCAAAATCTGAAGAATGCCTGCCCGAATGGCTACCGGAGATGAATAAATTTGAAATTTGGCGAGTTCTGATTGTGCGCCCCTGGCTGTAAGGTGACTGTAATGTGACGTTCATCCTTAATGTGTTGAATTGTAATGCATTGTTTTCCTCCCGAATGAAGGCCTTGACAAGCTTGCAGTCCAATGGCCCTGGACTGCAGTACAAGGTCAGCTGGAGACAGACGGACGGTGACAAGGATTGGGAATCAGTGTCGGTAGCCAACGTCTCCAAGTATGTGGTGTCGGGGACACCCACCTACGTGAAGTACGAGGTGAAAGTGCAGGCCGTGAACGACTATGGCAGTGCACCAGAGCCCAACGCCATCCGTGGATTCTCCGGAGAGGACTGTAAGTGATGGTGGGGGGGGGGAGGGAGGACAAGGCAGTGGGGGCAACTGTCATTTATTAATTTTTTTTCTTTGTGCATTGACTAATTTTATTCCCTTAGCAGGTACTTCTAAATGGAGCATTGAATATGACCAATGAAGCAGAATAGTGCAGTGATTGTACCACACTTTCTGCTATACAGCATAGCACTGTGTGCTGTGTGTGCACATGATTTATTACTTAATTGCTCTGTTTGCCATTTTTCAAATTAACATATGATTTTCTTCACTTAGCCTTTACATTTTCAACTACTGACCCTTTATGAAAGTTTGAGGTTTGCCAGAGCAATTCAACATCGCAGTAACAACCCCCAACTGAGAAATAAATCTTTGATTGGCAAGCCCTTTACTGCTATGCCCCCTGCAGGGTATTATTGGAAAAGCGCTTCTTTACCGTGTAAGGCTGCATCACTGTGCATTCTGATGTGATGTGAGACGTCTCCCCTCATGGATGCAGTGCCCAAGGCTGCATCACTGTGCACTCTGATGTGATATGAGACGTCTCCTCTCATGGATGCAGTGCCCAAGGCTGCATCACTGTGCACTCTGATGTGATATGAGACGTCTCCTCTCATGGATGCAGTGCCCAAGGCTGCATCACTGTGCACTCTGATGTGATATGAGACGTCTCCTCTCATGGATGCAGTGCCCAAGGCTGCATCACTGTGCACTCTGATGTGATATGAGACGTCTCCTCTCATGGATGCAGTGCCCAAGGCTGCATCACTGTGCACTCTGATGTGATATGAGACGTCTCCTCTCATGGATGCAGTGCCCAAGGCTGCATCACTGTGCACTCTGATGTGATATGAGACGTCTCCTCTCATGGATGCAGTGCCCAAGGCTGCATCACTGTGCATTCTGATGTGATATAAGACGTCTCCTCTCATGGATGCAGTGCCTATGGCTCCTCCGGAGGCGGTGCAGGTCCTGGTGGAGAACAGCACACTGGCAGAAGTTCAGTGGGACCCCATCAATCCCCAGATGGTCCGGGGGTGGCTGAAGGGCTACAAGGTACAGTGCTGTGACTGGGATGCTTTGCTGCTGCAGCACTGTAGGTGCCATATTACTGTCATGCTGAAGAGGGTTTGATTGAGTTGGTTGAGGGTGCACTTCTGTACTAAGTACTATTGCCAAGGTACCCACACCCATCTTCCCCCGCTGATTGGATTGGTTGTTGTGTATTTGTGGGGAGGAACCTGGAAAGGAATCTGAACCACAAAGAAGTAGAGAGCAGATTTTGAGATGTTGTGTTTGAGATGAGCCTGCTGATGGCCTTAATTCTGGCTTCCTCATCTCATGTTACAGTGTCGAGAACCAAAACTCACTCAGTCCTCATGTAATCAAATGAAGAACTCTCATTAAATACACAGTCCACAGAAATCTTCTCAAAAACATTTCCCATGGACGGTGTGAATTTTGGGAATTTGCTCTCCGACTGTTGTACCTAAAAAGCATTTTTCTTTTTGCATCAAAAGCCAATTGTTACAAACTGTATATCAGTATTAAAAAGTGGTGTTAAACATTTAGCCCAACTAAGAAAGGCGTGTCTGCTGAATGTGGGCTCTTACTGGCAGGTCTATTACTGGAAGGAAGATCCACAGATAGAGGAGCAGAAGGTTCTGACCTTTGGCAGGAACAAGACCCAGGGCAAGCTAGCAGGCCTGCAGCCTTACAGCCTGTACACCTTCAACGTGAGGGCCTTCAACGGGAAGGGCGAGGGCCCCCCCAGCCCCAACCAGCAGTTTAACACCCCCGAGGGAGGTGGGTCTTCTCAGCCTCCAAGCGGAGGAATGTGTGTGATTACCTGAGTGGGGGTCCATCTCTGGGGTGACGCTGTCTGCATTACTCATGCATGAGTAGCTGCTCCTCTGCTCTGCGGCTGCTCACTCTGCTGTTTTTTGGCACATGTCAAAGTTCCCGGACCGCCGGCGTCTCTCCGGATTACCAACCCCAGCCTGGACTCTCTGACCGTAGAGTGGGGGCCTCCCGTGGAGCTGAACGGGCAGCTGACTGGCTACACACTCAGATACCAGCCAAGTCAGTCTTCTTTGCACTTCATGTTTCTGATTCAAGTCTAGAAGCTTCTGTGGCTCTTCTAAAGTTCCGTGTGGACAGTTTTGTATAAAAATACATACAATACTGTACTTAAAATATCCAGAAAACGCACTAATATATCAGGGCTTGCTTAAAGAAAACAGAGGTGACAGGTCACCTGATTCTGTGTCCCCCTTCCAGTCAACAGCACGAATGAGCTCGGCCCGCTGGAGGAGGTCAGTCTTCCGGCCAACAAGACCTCCTGCACACTGCACAGCCTCAAGTACAGCACCCGCTACAAGTTCTATTTAAATGCCAACACAGTGAAGGGGGCGGGGCCAGCGGTCACCGAGGAGACCGTCATCATCATGGACGAAGGTAAGTTATCCAGTGTCAGTGACACACGGCATGTCAGCCTTGCGCTGCCAGTTAGACCCGACACAGTGCATCCATAGTGTGCTTAAAACCACGCGCTTCAAACAGCTTCCTGGGTAAACGCACCAGTATGCTGAAAGTGCTGGCAAACCAGTCAGCCTTTCACTCCCAGCAAAATGATCTTGAAATGATTAAATATAGAACTTCTTAGCTGATATCAAAACCACTTGCCGTGTGATTAAATGGCAGTTTTATTCAAGTGACAGGAGACACAAAACAAATGGTGATATTACCTATTTACTAGTTGTTACCCGGTGTGATGGTGTATCACTCTAGATCCACTCCATTGGCATTTCCAGAATGTAGCCTTTATCTAATTTGAAGCCTCTTTATCAAAGAACTGGTTTTGTTCAAGGTAAAATAAAAGTATGACATCACAGCCTGCACTCGGGTGCCCCTGCGCCTTAGTCACCTCCTTCTGCGTTTCTCTCCCCAGTACAGTAAATGGCTGTGAAACGAGTCTGTTCCATTAGTTTGTCTTCTATCTTCTGTAGGCTTGTAGATCATGTTGTTGTCCTGTGCAGGGAAATGGAAGCGCTGAATCTCTGCCAGTTCCATGTTGGGGGTGCCCCCACCCCCACCCTCAGCCCCCGCCCCCAAGATGCTGCTCATTTAATCAACTGGAGGAATATGAGTTGTTGTTGTAGTATAACCATATTTCCCTTCCTCATTTCATATTAAATTAGTTTTACCATACAAGTAAAGCAATTATAATAAATAGCAATTTTTATGTTAATTTCATTATATAATTACATTATATGTGCAACAGATTCACTGAAGTTCCTATGCAGATTTTCCTCAGAAGGTCAGTGCCTCTTCTGTTTTGCTGGCAGATTCAGACCCTCCATTTCTGATCCATAATAGCTTTTACATCCATGAATCGCAGAGAAAATCTGCCGTGGTATCGGCTAACCACTGTTCAATGATTAAATGTAGCGTGTTGACCAATCTGTAGTGTTTTTTTCCCCTAACCGGACTTTTCCAAGCACCGAAGATCTTCTCTGTACACACAGTACTGCAGGAAGTTCATTTCTCTCAATGTTAAAGCAGCATGTGTTTGGTTCGGAAAATGCCCCCGTGTAGCAAACTCTCCCCGGATGCTGATCCCCCTAATTTACTGTGCTTCCTTCTCTCTCTGTTCTTTCTCCTCCACCAAAGATCTAATGCATCACCCTGCAGTAGATGTGGGCAAAGGTAACATCAGTACTGAAAATGAGACCCCTGCATGCTGTTCAAAGAGGATTCAAAAACCAAAGTTGCATGTATCTCAGAATCTCAGAAATCCCCGAATTGTGGCGGAAGTGAGATATGACATTGAGGCACAGAAAAGAGACAGAAAAACAAATTTCAAGTGAAGAAATTGAAGTTTCCTCTTTGTCTGGTCTCACTGTGGCACCTCGCTTTAAGTTCTCATGTTGCATTCCACTTTTGATAGCTGTAGCCAGTTAGCAGTAAAGCCATTCTTTGCCTTATAGGAAGAATATGAAGCGTACATTTAAAAATATCTAGCTAAATCTGACCCCTTTTATGTTCTTCCTCCATTGCTGCTGTTCTTGCTTTGCTAACAAAGTAACTTGCATGTGTCTAAGTCCCAGCATGCACTGATGATGTCATAGCAGGAGGTGATCTTATATGTCTGTTGCATTTGTTGAGCTTGCGACGTATTGTCTGTCGTGTGCTGTTTCTTACCCTTCTCCATGTTCTTCCAGGACACACAGAGCTCCCTCATCCAGTCTACCCTATCACACAGTCTCTGCGCCCTCCATTCCCCAAGGGTACAGCCAATCCCCAGCTAGACTTCGCCACCACTCTCAAACCCATACAGCCAATAGAATTATCTCCTGATTTATATGCGTAATGGTGCTGAAGCACCTTAAATATGAGAAACAATGTTTCTGTTTATATAATACATTTAAAATTCATATGCACTGAAATCCTTTGATGGGAGGAATGAGCCTTTTGGCTGTCAAATTAAACCCCCCCCCCCTGGCAGGGAGCTCAGGTTGAGCCCCACCAAGGGTGTTACGGTTACAGAAATGCCACGTGGATCTTGCCTCATCCACTCTGGATTTCCCCACGATGATCTTCCTTGATCTCTTTGTCATTAATAGCTCTTCGGATTATGAATAATTGCATAATAATGCAGTATTACTCGTGCCGACAATCCCATAGCCGTAGTGGTATCCGTGGTAAACATCTGTTTACAAGTATCAAAGTACTTAGTCATCCGCCTGCCCGGTGGTGTCTCTGCAAGTCACTGTGTCTGAAGATGTCGTCTAAATGTGTCCGCAGTTGCTGAACTGACCTCTGAAGTGTGTGTGTGTCACTCTCTGCTCTCTCCTTTGTGCTCAGTGCGTCCGACCAGCCCGGGGTTCGGGAACGTTAGCTCGTCTGTGGGAGAGGATGGAGCTGTACTCAGCTGGGAGTACTGGGGCCTTGACAAGAACCTTTTTGTTGAATATACTGTAGAGAACAGTAAGATATTCCTTTATCGCTTGCCATAGGCTGGTGATGCCATTTTCTGCTCGCTGCATCCGGCTCATCCTGAACCATCACTGTCATTTTATATTTGTAAAATGCTAAATTTTGCAGAATTTAAAAATTTTAATTAAAGCATTAAGTCATCAGATGAAGAAAGTAAATACTGTATGTGTAAGAAATGGCAGCATGAAGCAGCTCTGTAGGGCAAAGCAGGTGCAGCATTTCTGTACATGTCCTGCTTATAGTGTAAAAACTGTTTTTACAATTTTTACATATATATTGTATGTTCCCGCAGCCATCCCAACTAGCAGTTAAGCATGGACAGTTTTTGACATTTGAGTCATTTTCTTTGAACTGCATAAAAGGAAAACTAGCCTGAGTGTTCCCTCATCTGAGTATACTCAACTGCTTGGTTGAAACAAAATCTTGGTCTGGATTTGTACTCTCTGGGCCTAAAATCTGCACCTCTGGTTCATAGCATGATATCAGGAGTCTCCTGGGAGTAATTTATCCTGATTTAGCACTGACAGTTTAAATACTGGCAGTAGGATTTAAGTGTCCACTGCAAAATCTTTAGCTGCATTTTAAATGCTAATATACAGTCTAATGCCTCAAAGTCAGTATGGAATCATTTAAAATTCTGCAGTGGTGCTCTAACTCTGTGCAGTGCTAATTTACTATGTGAATTACCCATGATCATGCTCGCCGATAACCAACTGAGTGATATATATACAGTATAAATACTGTGTGCTTACATCTCCATCCATCTTTGCTGTACTGTGCCCATTATCATCATTATCGTCTAACGCGCAGCATCGTGAAACTCACTCTCATCTCAGAAACTCAACCAACATGTTTTATTTATTATTATTATTGCTATCATTCCGAATTTCCTTTCTTCCTCAAACTCTTTTAGGTAAAGAAGAATGGACAAAGGAGTCTGTAAATGGCTCCCAGACGTATCTACTTAAAGGGTTAAAGCCTGGAACGTATAAAGTGCGGGTTGTTGCTAAAGATCACACGGGTGTGACGGTTCACAGTTCGCAAGAGCTTTCAATAACCGTCCCAGGTGAGGCGACGGGCTGGTCCGCCCCCTGCGCCTTGTAGCCAATCAGCATGCCCTCTGACTAAGCCCCTCCTAGGGGGCGGGCCTTTTCAATTCCCAATAGGGTCGTCCTGGGTGGTCGTGGACGTGTACACAAAGGTGCATGTGCGGTAGCTGTACTTCACTGCATGGCAGTAAAACATCTAAGCATAAAGACAACAGTCTGGACAGTTCGGCGCAGAAACAGACAAAAGGGTCTTTGTTGTGATGTACAAATGCAGAGAGGTGTGATTTTCAAGTATTATGGTATCGACGTTTCCTCCCATGGACTGGGTCACCTTTTTGGAGCGTCTTTTATTTGCCTGAGCTCACTTTTGCACACGGCCCATGATGCCCCTGTGCCCGTCTGCTTCCTGGGCAGAGAGTGTGAATTAGTGTGTAAGTGTGAAAGTGTGTAACAGTGGCTGCCTGCGTTTTTGGAGAACATTCCACTGATTGTGACCAGAATGTTTTCAGCTATAAGATGCATATGGAATTCTTTATAAGTGACTCTTCTCACCAGACAGCGTGAAAAAGCCGTGCTTTTCCCCATATTACCCCAATAGACCCTCTTGACGTATCTCTGCTTTATCTCCTGCATGATGCTCCAATGTATCTTTATTACACAATATATTTTTAATATACCTCAGATTTTTTCAATTCATAATGATTATTTCAAATGCCTTTATTGTTAACAGTTTTACTTGTACTGAAATTGCCTAGTCAGATTTTATTATTAGCTTCTAAGTTTTTTAAAGATTTAATTTGCTTGTTCTAAAAAAAGTTCTAAAAAATATTGGAATGGATCCAGAAGTTTCTTTTTTAACATATTCCCCCTGGTCTGCTTCTCCTCGGACGTGCGTGTGCTGCATGCCGACGTGTAGTAATACCAAGTCAACAAGTGGACATCGCCACTCAGGGCTGGTTCATTGGTCTGATGTGCGCCATCGCCCTGCTCATCCTGGTCCTGCTCATCGCCTGCTTCATCAAACGCAACAAAGGGGGAAAGTACCCCGGTGGGTAGCCGACAGGACGCATGCTTGTCTGTCCCAGGTCTCCAAAGCCCCCTCCCTCGCTGACCAGCTCTCTCTGCTCCTCCAGTGAAAGAGAAGGAGGACGCTCACGCAGATCCCGAAATCCAGCCCATGAAAGACGATGATGGGACATTTGGGGAGTACAGGTGAGCCGAGCTGGACCGTACCTAGCGGACGAGACGTAGGGCACCGTACCAAGGGGACTAGACCTAGGGTACCAGACCTAAGGGACCATACCTAGAGGACTAGACGTAGGGGCCTAGATCTAGGGAACCGTACCTAGGGGACTAGACGTAGGGCACCGTACCCAGGAAACCAGACCTAGGGTACCAGACCTAAGGCACCATACGTAGGGGACCAGACCTAAGGGATCATACCTAGAGGACTAGACGTAGGGGAATAGACCTAGGGAACTGTACCTAGGGGACTAGACATAGGGGACCATACCTAGGGGACGATATCTAGGGGACCACACCTAGTGGACTAGACCTAGGGGACCATACCTAGGGGATGATATCTAGGGGACCACACCTAGGGGACCACACCTAGGGGACTAGACCTAGGGGACCATACCTAGGGGACGATATCTAGGGGACCACACCTAGGGGACTAGACCTAGGGGACCATACCTAGGAGATGATATCTAGGGGACCGCACCTAGGGGACCATACCTAGGGGACCATACCTAGGAGATGATATCTAGGGGACNCATACCTAGGAGATGATATCTAGGGGACCGCACCTAGGGGACCATACCTAGGGGACCATACCTAGGAGATGATATCTAGGGGACCGCACCTAGGGTACTATACCTTGGGGACCATACCTAGGGGACTAGACCAAGGGGACCATACCTAGGAGACGATATGTAGGGGACCACACCTAGGGGACTAGACCTAGGGGACCATACCTAGGGGACTAGACCAAGGGGACCATACCTAGGAGACGATATCTAGGGGACCATACCTAGGGGACCATACCTAGGGGACTAGACCAAGGGGACCACACCTAGGAGACGATACCTAGGGGACCACACCTAGGGGACTATACCTAGGGGACCATATCTAGGGGACCACACCTAGGGGACTATACCTAGGGGACCATACCTAGGGGACGATATCTAGGGGACCACACCTAGGGGACTATACCTAGGGGACTATACCTAGGGGACGATGTCTAGTGGACCACACCTACGGGACCGTACCTACTGGATTGTAGCAAGCGGACGACACCTAGGGGGCTGTACCTAGTGGACCACGCCTAGGGGACCTGAATATCCATCTGTAAAACTAAAGCATATCAACATTAGGTCTGTAGCTGTGCTTAATGTTAAATATTGTGTCTTTTTTACTATTGTCTGTCTTCATCCTGTACTGTTCATCCATGTGTAGCTGTATTTGGGATGGTGGAGCGTGTTCCACTCCATGTTAAATAAGTGTCCCCGTTTCCCATTGCCCATATGTAGCCTATGCATGTAAGTGATGGGGGGGGTATCTGTGTTTTCAAGGCAGGTTTTTAACACTGTAGTCCCCCCTCTCAGAAAGCATCTGCATTCTTTGTTCTGGGGTGTCTAGGTCTCTGGGAAGGTAAGACGGAAACCCGCTGACCCGGCATGGTGGTCAGAGAGCGACTGACGGGCCAGCGGGGGGGTGTTATGATAGCACGCAGCATTGTCAGCCTGACTCCCATCTGTCCAATCAGCATTCTCCATTTATCCCTGGAATCATTCATCACCACTGAGCTTTACTCTTACCCTGCAGAGTCTCCTCTTAAACCCCTGCCTCCTGGTGCTTGATTCTGATTGGCTGACACTTAGTGTCATACAGATGACATCATTGCTTGGCATTTCTGCTTTTTGTCTCTTTCAAAGTCAAGCTAATGTGTACTTTGACTGGCAGGAGCCACATCATGAAGTGTGATTGGGGCATGACGTGACCAGGGGGTAATTGGGACTTGCAACAAATATTTAAAGTCTGTTTAAGTCGCAGCTATAGCTATGGAAGCTGGAATTAATAGGAAATAAATCACAAATCTACTTGCAAGTTACAAAGGACATGCTATCGCTCCTTGTAGCTAATTTCTGCCTTGGGATTCTGCAGAATATCAGTGCTTCTCTTCTCAACCCAGGCCAGAAGTGGTACTGAGGCGAATAAAGTTACACAAGGTTTCTGGCGCATGGACCCGTGGCATCTCTGCGCTTTCATCAAACCTTATTTGAATCCTTCCTTTTGGTTCATGCCATTGCAGAAGAAACTTGGTTGAATGCTGCTTGATATGCCACAGACATTATTCAGCATGCCATCAAAACGCAATGTCTAAAGAAAGGGTTTCTTTGCAATGTCTGAGCTGCCCTTTCGCCCCCTAGTGACACGGAGGACCACAAGCCACTGAAAGGAAGCCGCACCCCATCCAATGGGACGGTGAAGAAGGATGACAGTGACGACAGCCTGGTGGACTACGGGGAGGGCGGAGAAGGCCAGTTCAACGAGGATGGCTCCTTCATCGGCCAGTACAGTGGCAAAAAGGAGAGGGACACGGCTGAAGGCAACGAGAGCTCCGAGGCACCCTCGCCTGTCAACGCCATGAACTCCTTTGTGTAGCCCGAGCTTCCGGAAAGAAAAGGCCCACCCACATTTCACAGGCTGTCCCCTGACACTGTGATACTCCCCCACATCCCATGTGCATCACGGTGATTTTATTTTTTTCTTTTTTTTGCAATGACAGAGACGAGCGGCAAGAGGAATCCTGAAAGATGAATGCAGCGAAATAAAAAGGCAGACGGCCTGCTGCCCGCGCGGCATCACTGTTCATAGGTGCTTTGCGTCTTCATGACCGATCCGCCAATCAGAAGAACATCCACCTTTCATCTGCTTCTAATATAGTGCATGGATAGTCGTCTACCACACATTATAACATGGAGAATAACTAGCGTACAACGTGGAAGCAGTGGTTTCATTTTGACTTAACGGTGCACATCTGAGTTACTGGGTATGCCTTTCATTTTATTGTGAAAGTGTTATATTGGTATTGTATGGAAAAAAGGCTTCAATGTCTGTGTGGACATTGTTGTGACACATGTGATGTATAATGTATAGCTATTATTATATGTCTTTTTTGCAAGACAGGAGCTGTTTGTATATAATTGCAGAAAAAAATATAGAGAGACTGGAAATTGGGGTGATGTTTGTTCATGCATAGGGTTCTGATCTCAGAAAAAATTCCCTTTTTAATGCAAACCTTTTGTCATACTTCCTGGGTTTGGCCTTGTTATGACATGTTAGTTATAATTTCAAGCATAATAACACTTAATCATCTTGCTTCATTTTTTCAACACTGAGAATGCTTTCTTATCGCCATCTGCGCAAACGAACACGGGCTAAAATGCAGCGCGTCAGATCATGAGGGCGCGGACACTTGGCAGCCTTCGTCCAGCACCCCCCAAACCCATTCGACACTCAGGTTACAATCTGCCTGAGCCGTCACCTGTTAAAACCTAGCACAGTGTGGGATATCACTTCATAGTCTTCCTTTCATTAAAAGCATGCACGTACATCCCTAAGCATCTGCAGTGCGCAGCAGTCCTTGGTTCCACCGTCGATTGTATCTGCTTCGGCATATAGTGCCTTTTAGAGAACCGTGCCCATTTCCCCTTCTGCTCATTTTGTCCGAAGAACAGAGGAATCCCAATTGGATACACAGACAGAGATAGAAGGATGTGTTTCATACACGCAAAACTTGTGAAAGGTGACCATGATCAGATTCATAATTCATATCTGTTTCATATTTTGTAACGTTACGATCACAGCGTACCTCTTGCACTCCTGCCCCGTTCCATCAGTGGAGGGCCTTGTTTTAATCTCTCAAGCATCCTAAAACGACTTCGGATTTCACAGAACAAACTACCTGGGAAACTGAGTGCCAGGGAACATAACCCTGCGAAGTTCCCGTAGCTACGATTGTGTATCGGAAGCTTGCGCCGTGTCCGGAGCCCAGGACTGGCTCACATTTATTTGGATACAGGTCGCAATCGTAGGAAACGATCAAATTTGGAGGGTGCGCAGGTCTGCAGGTGAGATGAAAGAGAGAGAGAGAATTGGATTAGATTTTTGTGGTTTTCATTTTCTTTTTTTCATAACTTGCATCAAGTTTTAAGTTGAAGTTTATGCTGTTATGTGTAGATATTTTGTTCAATTTGTAAATATGTCCTAATTTACAATAGACTCCTTAGGCCACACTGATGTGACTGATTTATTACTCAAAGTGAGACAGTCGGTGGATTGAGTTGTATTGAATATTATCCTCCTTACATTTTAATTTGCTGTGATTTTTGTATACATTTTAACCCACAGGGAGGCCGCTCACAGGATCAAGCTTAAGTTCAAAATGATTAGTTTTAACTTTAAGATTGTGTTTTTAAGTTGGCTGCCATTCTTTGCTTCTGAGAATTCATGAACCTTCACAGTTAAATTGATGATACATGTTAATCATGCGGTTCCTCCAAGATTCCAAGAGAAATTAGCTGACAGCACAACAGAATGAAAGCTTTGGTAGGAAGTGTTTATGTTACAGATGACACTGTTTAATGTAGATGCAAACAAGCATGACAGAACTGCCAAATGGATTACTCTAAAATATCGCTGCAAAGATTTTGTATTTTAAATGAAAATAAATGTTGATTTCAGGATTTCACTAACAATTTATTTTATTGCTTGTTTTGTTTGCGTTTCATTCTTGAGTTTTAAGAAATGGAATTACATTCTTAAAATATAATTCTGAATATTTATAATGCACAAGAAGATCCATTTAATCTTTACAGGATGATGCACGTCACTGGCTATTCAACAAAAATGCTGGATTTTGCAGAACAATTAAAAATTAATTAACAATTAATTGTAAGTAACCACTTGAATGTGTTAATACAAGTATTCAAACATTTTTAAATGCACCATTCATCAGTAATATGCTATAGTTTACATGGCAAATTCCGCAGTAAGCATGGTGTGTGTGTGTTTTTTAATCCAACATAATACCCTAACACCAACCATTGCTGCATGACATGAGGTCAGCCTTTGGATTATGTCATCTGTCTATCTGGAATCTGTCATAACTGCCAGCATTTTAAAGTTTATCGCAGTCCTGTACTGCAGATGGGCCAGTTTATCGATTAGCCCTTTCACATAAGCATGACCCTGTACACACCCCATTCGCACCTGGACACCACCCTCGAGAGCCTGTGTGGACTTCATTCCATTCATGTGACCCAGTCGAGGGAAGGTTCCACTTTCTGCTCCCTGGGATCTGAGCTTGCAGTCTTTGCATTGGTAGCACCATCGGACCTGCATCGCTGGAGCTGTGAATGGACAGAATGTCGTCCCCCGTTTTCCGATCTCTACCTTCTGGATCAGCACTGACACATGACTGATGTGTAATTGCAGAACACAGACTAAATGACCACTCTCACTATCTACAAAAAAGGGCTAAACTCAGTTAAACTCAATATGAAATACGTCTGTTTTACCATAGCTTTAGTCATGTGGCTATATTAATATTGCTATAGTAATGTCCTGTGAAAAATTGCCTGCCCTTCCCTGTGAGAGTTATGCTGGAAATTTCCATGGCAATCAGGCATCTTTTCTGATTTTTATATGCAAAGGCAGAACACAGACGATCACGTGTCTCAGACAGTTTTTCTGGACATTTAAATTTGTGCTGTCTGTACCGTGACGAGGTTGTACACTGGCTAAAGCACGCACTGCCCTGCCGCCAGCACCATCAACAGGCTACAGTCAGACTACCGCCATTGCTACCTTATATATTTTGCCAAGCTATATGGATTTAGGATTTTTTTTGTTTCAAAATGGAAAGATAGGTTAATATATTTTTTATTTTATTTGTAATTCATAACTTAATGCCATGGTGGTGTATTTAGAATTCACAGACATACTGCTATATTCTTTGTCTAAATGACTAAACTCCTGTGAAGTTTGGGATAGGAGGGTTTTGGCTTGGATTAGCTATTACTATATCCCGATATTATATCCCGATCAGCTGCGCGAAATTAAGGCACCTTCAGGTTACAGGGAGAATCTAGTTTCCTTTTTTATCCCTGTATGACAGTAAAATTCCCCTAAGCCTTTGCTACCCAGATACACAAGGGGATTGTGGCTCAGCAGTGTTCAGTAACTGTAAACTGGCATCGTTTCGAAAAACAGCCGCAAACACCCAGTAGTAATGCAACGATCATCTGCCTATCAGGTCCCCGGCACCTCATACAATCCTCAAAGCACTAGCGGCTACGGCAGGAAGGTTTGAGTTCTCACCCCTGACCGGTGCAGCAGCGCCCCCTTCGGCGTCTCCAGACACCCGATCACGGCTCACGGACTCAGCTGTTCTTCGCCGCGCTCCGCTGCTCTAATGATGCGGCGCTGACCCAGGTGGGGTCTGCGGAGAATCGGCGGACGCTGATCATCATTCGCCAGGTAAGAAAACGGCTGCGGTGCCCTAAATATCGAAAATGCATGTCTGTACACTGGACAGCATAGACAGGAGCACAGTGCAACCACATCCCGGTGATCTGTGCAGTTTTCCGGGCACTGCGCCGCTATACCGCAATGCAGAGTACTGGGTACTGGGACACCTTGCCTGCGCTCCAAGTCTTCCAGAGGTGATAAATATTATTTGACTTCCTTCAGAAGTGCAACTGAAAATGCATGGATGCAGCCAAATGTGAACACTATATTGCATTTGCAGTATGATATAAAAAAATCAAAGCATTTCTTGTTTATTTTACGACTCATACCGGCTAAAGACCGAGGCTTTTCGCATTAATACGCACTTGTCTGTTGTGTAACAGTTTTACTGTTGGATTTAGGATCTGGGAAAAATAATCTATTGGAGAACGCCTAGTTGCAGTCTCTTTAAAGTCAGGCGATTTAGAGAGCGTTGTTTCCTAATTATTTCCGCTCCTTAATTAGTCTTTGGTTAAATTAAATGTAAATAGGGCGTATTTCTGAAGCGGAATAAGGCAGAGAGCAGGGTGGAGTCCTAGGCTCTCCCGAGCCGGGCCATTACGGTACGGAGTTTAAGTTTTAAACTGTCATATGCGGATCTGGAAGCCGGCCCTTGTGGTTTGTTATCGCCTTGAGGAACCTGCTGACCTTCAGCACAACCCGGCGCTTCTGCTCATTGAAATTTAAAATAACTCGGTACTGATTTATACTTAAGCGACGTATCGGAAATACGGCAACAGTACGGCATTTCAGTATATTCAGATTTTTTTATTAAGCTATATTTTTATTTTAGTTTATTATTATTATTATTATTTTTAAAATAAGGTCCTGGTTCTCCTGGCTTATATTGGGTGTACATTTAACCTTGAGGTGTTTGATTAGAAGGAATTTATCTTTATATGAGTACAGGCTGGTGGATTGGTGTAATATTTAATTATTATTATCGTGCTTCAATATCGTATGACGTTATCTTTCAGATTTTACTGCATGGTGATTTGGACTTGTCATCCCCTATCTATTTCCAGCCAGATGTAGCCTACTATGTATACAGCTTAGTTGACTGGTGCATGTGGCTTAAATTCTGTATCTGTTTTCCATGCTTCCTTCCACTGTTACAGTATATGTGGAATTTCATGGGGTCTTTTAAAAAACATTTTAAGGTAAAATCATCCCTTACTGAAAATGGTTTATGTCAAAGGAGATGATTAAATTGCTTTTTTCAACTCCCTTAACTTTAAGATACTGCAAGAAATACAAAACTGATTTAAGAAGTTAAAGCATGTTGTGGTTTGGTTTACAGATCTAAAAGCATTCAGTTGATAGGACAGGTCAAGCGATTTTTAACTCTGTACTGTTGTAAGTTAAGCCCATAACTAGATGCACTGCATATCATAACTGCAAAATGGGTCTCAAAGGTGGAACTGAAGTGCAACCCAATAAAGTGGACAAGGTACTTTCCCATGGGAACCAGGCTTTGGAGGAAAGAGTGTGATCGAAGGCTGGAAGTGCGTTGGACGTCTAGGCACTGATAATGATAACTGATCCTGTGTATTTGGGGAAAAGCTCAACAGAGTCCACTTTCGGCTGGGTTCTGTGTACTAGGGGTTCCTGTCAGGGTAAGTGCCCGTCCGACTCTGCCCGTCATGTCTCTTCCTCGTTTGGCCAGCAGGTGTTGCTGGTCATCCTGTTCCCTCTTTTGTCTTCGTACTAGTTCCTAGTGTGTTTTCCTTGGTCCCTGGGCTGCTGCATTGCTCAGTGGGTGGAGTTTGTGGCTTAAAGATTGTACTCCCCCAGGCGTGGGCTTGAGGCTGCATGGCTAATGATCAGCTTCATTTATTTCTTTGTATTTGAGCTTCTGTTCCCCAGTGTTTTGTTACGTTTCCTTTGGAGTTTCCTGTTCTAGGTTGCCCTCCTTGTGTTCTGTTCCAGTTTTATTTTGTCAGAAAAAAACAATGGGGAATAACAAGAACAAACTACAAGAACTATAAGATAATACAACAAGGGAATAGGGCAACACTGGCCAAAGGATTAGGCAATGGGACAGAGTAACAAGCACTGTAATCTGACACAAAGACTGAGAAATGGAGTAAGGGCAGGGACTTAAATGCACACAGGGAATCAGGGCAAACAAGGGACAGGTATAAATCATAATCAAATAAACCAATCAAAACGATTTGATTCAACAAGGAACAGTTGGAGTGGATTACAATTAACAAGTGCTGTAGACTGGGAAGCAAACAAACTAAAGGCTAACAACACTAGGAAAGACTAGGAACAGAAGTGCACGCAGAACATGATTAAACAAGGATACAGGAACAGGCCTGGGCGTAAATTATGGGGGGGTTGTAGCCCCCCCAATAAATCAAAACCAGCTAATACAACCCCCCCAATAATCATGTTTCCCCCGTAATGGATGGAGACCTCAACTCCCCCAATGTTCCAGCCAAAGTTACACCATTGGGAACAGGATAACCTAAAATGGGGACACAGATATAAATAATAACAGATGGCCGGCGCTGCTCCCCGCTTCACTATGCACCTTTTAGTTAATGTAGTTTGTGTTACTTTAATTCTCGTTTCTTATCCTTTTTTGTCTGTGTGAATAAATCTTTGCACGGTAACCGGTCTCCGTCTTCCTCCGTTTTGTTGCAACACCGAGCCAGTTGTAACACTTAGGAAACAGAAAACCAACAAAATGTTAAATAACAGGAGGTTGTCCTCTGACCAGTGGGTACAGTCTCTGAGCTGGATGCTCAACCTGTTAAGTTACACAGCAGCTTGGGAAACAGGGAGACACACTAGGGCTGAAGGGCTACAAGATGGAGGAGGGAACAAGATGGCCAGCAACACCTGCTGGCCAAACAGGAACATAACACATAGGACAGGGATGGACAGGTGCCAACCCTAACATGCTGTCATTATAATAAATGTAATAATATTATTGAACTATGTGTTAGTATATTAGATTGTACTTTCTCACTATGCTATGGTCATTGTCAGATAGATAGATTGATCGATCCCAAAGGAAATGTAGGATCTAAGCATGTCAGGTGTTAAGCATTACAAACAGTGTTCTGATGGCAGCCTTTTCACAGCAGGGGTGGGTTGATTTTCCATCTGTGTAAAGTCAGGCTCAGCTGTGCCACAAATAGCTTTGCTTGCAGGTCCAAGGCTGCATTGTTATTGC